GGTGTGTGTGTGTAGAGCACCAGGTGTGTGTGTGTGTGTGTGTGTGTGTGTGTGTGTGTGTGTGTGTGTGTGTGTGTGTGTGTGTGTGTGTGTGTGTGTGTAGGTCTGGTATGAGGATGAGCAGAGGTCCAGGCGCTCTCGCAGTTGCCCTTTCACTGACACAGGTGAGACGTCTTTTTTTTCTAGTTCATTTTCTTTCTGGTCTTGTTATCACAAGGTAAAGACTGAGCAGTTTAGCTCTGGAATGCTGATGTTTACTATGTGTCGATTCAAGATTTATTCCAAAGGAACGTATGGCAGAATGTGTCAGTGTCTGTGGGCCCGGGTCAGATGAACAACCTCCACCCAATGCTGTGGTGGAACCTGTCCGCACCCTGCAGGCTGGAGGGAGATGTGTGGCCCTGCAAGAAGGAGAGCAGCTGCAGGGAAATTAAGGGCTTTAGACAGCAGCTGTCAAATGGCTCGTGGAAACAAAACAGCAAGGGACAGTGGGTAAGAATCTTTTAAAATACTTATTATTGGTTTTAAGTCTATAAAAAGCTTAGCTCCTTCCTATGTTATTTACATGTTCACTAAATACACACAACATATTCTGTTAGTTATCATCTAAAGGTCTCCTCGCCATACCTAGAATCAGAAATCATTTTATGAACTCCTTCTGGTCTCTGGAAGTCTCTGCCACTTGTTAAAGGTCTACTGCAATTGTAATACCATCTTATCTAATGTGTCTTTATCTTATCTTTTTATGAGTATTTGCCTCTATTAATAAGCATGCTCTGTAAATAAACTTGACTTGTTCCCCTCAGTTTGAACATGTTTATTTTGTTTACTTTATTACTTATTCTTATCTCACAGTGCTTTAAGTTTGACAGAGCATTTATGATTGTGTCTTCTTTAGGAGAAAACAGGGGTGTTTGAAGAAATCAACCTGAAGCTCTCACCATGTGTGATGGTAAAGTATTCACAATTTCCCTCCCCAGTAATGTTATTACTTTACCAACGTTGAATAAATACTTTATTTAAATGTATTTGTGCAGGTGAAGGTAAAGGGAATGGATCGTGAGCTGGGTCCATTCTGTTTTGAAAACAGTGAGTCTGACACATTAATAATTACACAAACTGATGCTGGTTTGGACACATTTAGCTGAAATGCAGCACATGTTTCTCACGCTTTTTCTAAACAGGGTTTTACTTTGTACTACTTGCAGCTGACAGGTGGCACTGGAGTCTCCTGATTGTTGGTATCATGCTGCTCCTTTGCTTGACTGTGTTCATATCATCATATCTTCTCCGGCATGACTTTGTGAAGAGTACGTTCAAATCTTTGTTTCCTTTTTGCAATAAGTTTAATGAATTGAATACGGATGAATTCCAGGACATTTTTCATCCCTCCGATTCTAGTTTATGCAAAAATTGTATCAATTGTGCGTGGCACTGAAATTATAAATACCCTTTGGTGTATTTCTGATAAGCCCACTGATATTTTTACTTCTATCTTTATGTCTTTTATAGAATGGGTGTGGAGCTGGCATCATGGTGGATTTGTACAGAGTAAGTATTTTCTTCCTACTACTTTATTAAAAAGTAATTCAGTTGGAATGGAACAACTCTCTGATAGTTATCCTCTTGTTTTATTTCTCCAAAGTTGGCATGAAGTGTCATGTGGTGTTGCTGAGCCCCCCAGATGTGGATGACGGTGTTTCGGAGTCAGTGTGTCGGCTCGGCTCACAGCTCTCTAACCAGGGCTTCAGCGTGTCTGTGGACCAGTGGAGCAGGAAGGAGCAGTGCACTCTGGGGCCTCTGCCATGGCTATACTCCCAGCTGCTGGAGCTGAAAAGCCTGGGCGGCCGAGTTGTGATTGTGTTGACCCACAAAGCCTTAGAGCGAGTAAAAACATGGACCCACCAGAACCAAGGGGTTATCAAGATGAAGAGGGAAGACATGGGTTTTCCTCAGAAGTCTTCCCCTTACTCTGATGTGTTCACAGCCTCTCTGTGTCTCATCCAAGCGGACAAGCAGCTGGGCAGAGCTGCAGAACGTTTTGTTCTTGTGACATTTGACCCCAATTCAAGCATTGACAGGAGTCTACCAAAGCTTCTTCAGGGGCTGCGCCTGTTCCAGCTTCCCTCTCAGACCCAGGCATTCTTGTCTGAGCTTGCCGTAGCGGGGGCAGGGAAGGGATCAGATAAAGACATGGACAGGGTGGAAATGGAGGGCATCAGATGGATGGAGGTCAAAGTCTAAAGAAGGACCAATCTAGCAGAAGAAATCACACTGTAAATATGTTGAGTTGATAAAGAAACATGGAGACAAAGACCTTTTAGCACCCTTTAGCTATTTTTGTACATTATTGCTGCTCTGTGCATATGAAGCATGTGTTCATCCAAAGTGTGAGATGAACATATAGGACATTATTTAATAGCTGGCAATGATCTATTTGGTGTTATGCCATGAAATTGATAACAAATGTATTGTTATTGTTATTGATAACAAACCATCTCCCAAATGTTCAACTCTACATTTGTATGTTTTAGTCCCACCCTGTTTATCTTTTACAAAATATATGATATCCCAAGTAACTGCAGGAACATTACGTTTTTAGCAAATATAACTAAGGAAGGATTAACTTGTGTTTTTGTTGGGGACTATTTTCAACAGGACATTATGCTAGTGAACACCAGCAGGATATAGGACTGAATGTTCATTGTTATTAAGTGAAATGTTACAATGTGGGAGACCTGTGATTTCAATGTTTTGTGCCAAAGACTGTGGTCTACTACGGTAGAGGAATACGTTATCAGGTTTCGGCTACACCTACACACACTGCTTGTTTAAGGATTGAATCAATTGTTTTTTATAAGAAGAAACATGTAGAACATCCTCAGATCTATCCTTTAAGCTTCATAATGTTTAACCTCAAATGTAACAGACTTATCTTATCCATGTACTGTCCGTCTGTCAACAACACTGGTTTATAAATACATGTGCTTATTTTTGTGCATGGTGGATGACAGATTTTGATTGGCCATCTCCAGTCAAGGGCTGTGGATCTGATTGGTGCAATCTAGTGTCAGTTTAAAGACGCGGAGGAGCGCTTGTTAAAAGTGTTCACTACATCTCAGAGGGGCGGTGCTATGAGGCAACTCGATGTTCCGCCCACTCGGGATGTTTGGTTTATTTTTGGCATCAAACCACAAAGGAGTGTTGAAGTGTGATAACTTGTGTGTCAGTTGTATTCACCCTTTTTAAACTTTATTAAGACCGACAGAGTCAGTCGACGCACACAGAGGAGGTAAATAAACCCTTAACGCATGTCTTCAGTTTGTTTTGAGTACATCTTAATGGTTGCTGTGCTTTTACATAATATAAATGTAGCACTATTTAAGTATTATTATTATTATTAATTATTATTTCGAAATTGCAAAGTAAATCAGAGTGAAATGTGAAGCATTTAAGCAGTGAAGCTAACCTTTATTTATGGGCCAAGTCAGGTTGGAAACGTTTTGAAATGTTGTATGTTTTTTTCCCAAAACTTTGTCAATATATATGTTGTAGTTGTACCATATCTAAATTACACATATCTAGTAAAAATAACCATACGTTTGTATATATCGTATTTTCAGACTGTATTGGAATGTTCTTCCTCTACCAAAAATGGTCTCTACCGAAAAATAGTACACTGTAGTAAAAAAGCATTATATTAACCTTTCTTTGTAAAATGCATAATACTGATCATATTGATTCCAGAGTTGATGATTTGATTGTTAAAAATTGAGCACACATTAAACCAATCAGTATCATATAATTTTAGTTGATAAGTCAATATACTCAATTTTTTTACAAAACATCCACTGTTTCGGTAGTGACCACAGTATTTTGTTCTCAAGGTTGTATCATATTCCCTCAACCTTATTGCTTAATCTTAACTCATAACATGCTTTATGTTGAAGTGTGAATGTTTGATCCTACTGACCTAGAATCAGCACTTTATTAACAGGCTGAAATAGAGGGGGATGAGGCTAGAATGGGTGATCTGTTTGGTATTTTGAGCAAAACACTTCATAGACATGTTTTTTATATATCTGAGACCTATATGCCTACAAATAGTACAATAGGATACCTTTGAAGTAACACACTGATTTTCAGACTTTAAAACACATTTATTTCAAAACTATGGGATTTACCTGCTTACTTTTCCATTTTGTCACTACCGAAACGATCATGTCAATTACCGAAACGTAACCATATGTTTCGGTAGTGACGATTCTAGCTAAAATTGAGCATAGCAAAAGAATGCTAGCTAGTACTTGGCTAGCATACACGTTTTTGAAGAGGTTAACACGCATAAAAACATAATACTTTGCATAAAACTCCGAAAAAGTTTACTTAATTGAAGATAATACGTGTTCGGTAATGACAATTCTTAAGGTTACACGCCGATTTTCAGATTTTGGAACAGATTTATATCAAAAGTATGGAATATAGCTACTTGCAATTCAGCCATGAGGGACAGGGATGCAGTGTCGCTGCCGAGTCAAAAATGCAGGGGTGTTGCTAAAAACCAGGATCAGCCATTGGACTAAAACCCCTTGTGTTTCGGTAGTGACATGAAAACTGGGGACATGATTTTTTGACTATAGTTTTTTTATTAAAGAATTAAACCCACAATAAATCTAAATATTCCAACTTCTGTTTGAATGTAATCATAAAGATCTTCTAAATGCACCATTGAACAAAATACAATAAAAATGTTTTAAGTGTTATTTACGGAAATTGAAATGCATGTCAGGGTTGGGGACAGCTACTTCCCAATAGAAAGTACCCTATACATGATGTTTTTGTATATATTAAGCTTATCCCTATATAATTTAATGCCTTATGTTTAAATAGACCATAACATATTCTTAGTAAATATCTATGTCTGAATACTTAATTGTTTTGTTAAATAG